CCTATCCCAGCCCCCTACCCCAACCCACAGACACCTACAACCCTATCCCAGCCCCCATCCCCAACCCACAGACACCTACAGCCCTATGTCACCTACTATTCCCCAACCCACAAACACCTACAGACCAATCCCATCGCCCAATCCCCTCCCCAACAGCTCTCCTCCTCAGGAATGACCCTCGGTTTAGGAGCTTCCAGTAAATAGGCATTCACTAAACTTGCAAACACTGGCTGGACTCAGGCTCTGCCAAACATGCACACAAACACGCACAGACTCACACGGACGGACGTACACACATACACGTACATAGACACACAGACACATACATATAGACACACATAAACACACAGACACACACTTACACAGACATACATGTACATACACACACACACATACACACATACATGTTCCGAATTGGTTCAATCACAACGAAACCACAATGACTATAATTCCTGGGCAAGGTCTTTGGGTCGTTGTTTGTCTAAGTTGTTGCTGAAAGAAACGTATTAACACGGAAATGAATTGGAACTTCGGGCTATACTTTACTGAACAATCTGGCGCACCTACGGCCAAGTTGAAGTTGACACTGTTATCAGTAAAAGTGCCTGTTGTAATATCATCACGGAGTCTCATATTAATACCACAGCATTTACAATGGGATGATTGTGGGTCCGAGGGTAGGTTGGTTCTGCGGCCTTATTAATGTCACTCAGAAAACCTCAGAACGCCTCACACACAGCAACTGATGTTCACTGACTGGTTCACTTCAGAAAGATATGAAAATCAGTAAGAAACCCGGCGCAGTGCGGAAGCAGTGATGGATTGGGAAGGTGGGGCATTCACTGGAGTGCAGCAGCAACAATCTATACCATTGGGGGGTAATGGATCTAGTTCCACAAGTAACTTATGGTGCATGTGATGAATTTCTTGCCTTAAAGAAAACAAAACGTTGCAAACGACTCCTGAGTAAACTTTCTACCAGCCTCAGCAGCTCCGGTGAATTCCAATTGCAATAGTCTTTTGTTTTAAAAGTCAAATGATGCAAATATGGATTAAACATACTTTGTAAACTTCTCAATAAACATGAAACACAGCTCGTTGTACTATGTACTATTTTGCGATTAAAATTGGCGTTCTCACGTTTCCATTGTCGAGTGATAAAGAACTTGTACTCACTCGTCCACGTCCGAAATGCAGTTTTCACTAATATCTCAAATGCTTTGTCTGCTCATTGCGAGACAGCTCATAAACCTGGTCTGGGAAAACACTGATACATCTAAAACTACACGTGGGAGCAAAGCGTTGGGTCGATTTTACACCTTGCCCCATATCATTGCAGGCCTACGGTCCAAAAACAAGGGCGTGTGTTTCCCAATAACATCACCCATTTCTTCCACCTATAAAGATTCTTTTCAGTTGAGAAATTTGCCTTCTTACCGACTTTTGAATGGGGCTGTTGGCTTCGCACAGTTTTTGAAAATGCAAGCTCCACACCCCGAGTCAAACGGAATGTCACCGAAAAGGACCTGGTGCTCGAACGTGAAGTTTGTTCACCAAAGGCTTATTCGGACGGGAAACCTTAAACAACAATTTATCTAGCTTCCTGATGAAGTGCGTTCCATTGTTCCTGATTTGTGCACGTCTGTGTGTGTGCGCGCGTGTTTGCGGAGTTGTTTTGAGAGCTGTAGGTTTTGTCCTAGCCATGAATAGACTCTGTTTGACATCCATCAGATTAATAAAGAAAATTAGACCAATTTAAATTTGTTTCCAGTTTGATTCCTTAAATAAAACGATGGTGTACATTCACAGAAGAGAGGGGAAACGTCAATTTGATTACCTGCGAGCTTTATCTGTGTTTCACTTCATCTGCGGGTTGATAGACCATATGCTCACATTTTACTTGTCTGGTCAACATTTAGTTCCTGCTAGGCCTTTTTGTGATGCCATTAGCCCTAAGGTGGCATCAGTACAACATCAGCTTTCTCTGCGTAATTTCCTTAGACTGGCCTGCTATATTGTTTACCAGGCGGCACTGAAAGCTTCCTAGTGTTTGGCCTCAGTTAGATTCAATTCATGATCTAATACTAGGAGACCAGACAGAAGACATACATCTAATCATGTCACATCTGAATTAATGAAAGGATATGTAACTAAATTCCATGGAAATCTGACTGAAGACACTAAACAGTAGCTATTTTAACATTAGTTTCAAAACGAGAGAATTTATAGCCTTCACATTGTCATGTTTGGTCCGGATTAACAGTTAAATTGGCTGTAAATCTTTGTACAATTTTACTAATAATGAGAAGTTGTTATGAATGTACGTTGCCAAGCAAGAAGTAGACCTAAATTATTCAGATTTCAAATGTGAGTACTATGAAGCCACACTGTTTAGAATAAAAGGAATTCTTTACACAGTTACCTAAAGTGTATTCCGAAAGAACTGTTCTGAGGAAGGGTCACCGGACCCGAAACGTTAACTATGTTTTTTGCCTTCAGCGATGCTGCCAGACCTGCTGAGCTTTTCTAGCAACTTTATTTTTGTTACTAAAATGTATTCAGCCGGATGAGCCCCATAAATATTCACAGTGCTTTGTGGTCTGAACAGCCATGCTCTGAAATTAAAGAAAAAGACAATATTGGTAAAAGTCCTACTCGCAGTAAGGTCTTGATCTGAGTTTTATAGCTAGAGATACTATCCTCGCAGTTAATTTAGATGTACCGAAGCACAGTGCAAGGTCAGACGGGTTGATTTGATGCAACACCACGTTCCGCAACAGTATGTTCCAGCGCCATTTCAAAATGACCTGGTTAAGGAACTATGTGCCGAGAAAGGCCAACCATAGAGTAGATGGGGGTGTGTGTTTGCAGGATATGTCTTATGAGTTTTCCCGAAAGTTATGCCCACTTCACATACCAGAACATATTTGCATTCCTGCTTGAGATTGCCAAATATTGGCCTGAACAACAAGACCCAAACAGCTATGGAAGACTAATTTTACCGGAGACAGTGGCAGATAACTTCGTCGCACATTGTTTTGGACTGAACTCTGAGCTTATTTTGGATTCAAAGATGGGAATTGACACTCACACCTCAGAAACATCTAAGATCTACCGATTCCTTAAATGTGAAATGCTCCCGAGGCTGTCTGGAAAGGGCAATGGCTCAAAAAAGAGAAAAGATTAAACAAACAGTGTTTCAGAATGTTAAGAAAAAGTTAAAGAAAGCTAACTTGAACTCAAAAATATAAAGAACTTGTAATGGCAAGGGAGGTTGCAGTCAAAGTTCAATTTTAAAAATTAAAATTAAAAGGGGAACAGAGGCCAATATGACCAAGTCAGGATATAAATTATATTTTAAAGGAAAACACAGAAGTAACTGAAATAGATTAAATTAAGAAACATTCAGAAAATTCTTCAAAAAATGGAAACATAATCAAGTTAAAAATGAAAAACATTTATCAAATGATTGTTTAAATTGGTAGCAAACAAGGTGTGATAAATAGAGGTGAAATGAAAGGGGACGGATTTAAAATGGGTTGGATTTCTGAAACAGGGGCTAAGGAAAGGAAATTTATAAAACAGTTACTTTCTACCTGTTTTGCAGAGGAATAGGATGGGGATTTGTAGGTTTACAAGGAAGTCCAAAGGAAGAGCTTGGCAGTAGTTTATACATTGCAAAATTGATTATTAACAAGATGTTTTTACTGAAGTAAATAAGCTGATTCAGAAACACGCTTACAGTGAATCAGCTTACATATTACCAAATCTTTAATCAACGCTTTTAAATGTCCATTTGATTGGAAAAACGTCCCAAAGGACCACAATGTCATGAATATAATTCCAATGTTTGAAAATTGCTAAATGGCATCCTCGATGACTAATATAAAAAATAATAGCAAGCATTTCAAATGAAATGCATCTGGAACAGACAGATGATTGTGAGCATGGGCTCAGAAAGGGGAAACTGTGCTGATCTAAAATATTGGAATGTTCGTAGAAGGATTCATAGAAGTGATCGCCAGTCCCTGATATTAATAATATGTTTGGCATGAAAAGTAATATTTCACAGGTTGCAAAAGGTCCTAAAAATAGAGCTGCAGCAAATGTTGAGAAGTAATAAGCATATTCAATGGAAGCTTCAGAAAGTGAGTGAGATGATGAAAAATGAAGGTCAGTGAAAATGTAAGAATAATTGTTATGAAACCAGAATAGGGAGATTGTATTAAATTCAATGCTTTGCTCAGGAAAAGGACTACAGAATTACGTCTTTGGAACAATGGGCTGAATTTTTCCAGACCCCGAAAACATGGGCAAGGTCATAAAAATGAGATTCTCGATGTTGAGAAAAATAGAGTCCAATTTACACCCAAAGTTTGATTACAAGTGAGTGGTGAAAGGAACATTTGCATGCTTTAACATCTCATTATTATCCGTTCTCACTTCATTTCTACACAGTTTGCACATATGGCAAAGAGAAACAAGACAGTGATGGCTTCAGCTCATCACTTCCTCAGCTGGACTTCCACCCTGGCCAACAGTCACCAACACATTCCATGTGTAGTGACAGCCTGTGGCCCCTATCCCTGGCAAGCATAGTACATGCACCAGCCTCACTACATCATCATGGCACATATCCAACTCACTTAGAATGCAGTTATGCACTTTAATGCTGCACCTTAGAGAGCACCAATACCTTTCATTGTCATGCTGCTGCCAGGCTATTTTGCGCATAGAGACGGTACCCATTCCACTTATTACAACAAGGTGCACCTCAGGACTTATCGCTTTCTTTCTTACTGCTCACAAATGTAGGTAGGTGGGTTAGTAAGTTTGCAGATGATACAAAGATTGATGGAGTTGGGGAATAGTGCAGAAAGCTGTTAAAGGATACAGCAGGATATAGATCAGT